ATTTCTATAAACTTTTCAAAGAAAGGTTTGTGCACTGTTTTAATTAACATCTAGAATAACATGGTCTATTGTTTGGATGAAGCTATCCCTCTTAACTTCTATTGAGTGCTACCTGTGATATTTGAAACTAATGCATTTTCTATTGAGTTTGGTTTTCAGATTTGAGTCAATTGTTTGTTTAATTGCTTATTAGAATTTTAAGGCTTGGTGATATCAGTCTTCTTTTCTGCAATCATGAAGTGTCAGATTTTGGTTTAAAATATATTAAAATTAAAATGTTGTCTCTGTAAACATGGAGCGGTCGATCTCAAAAGTGGGGCAGTGGAATAGCAGTTGTGGGATGACCACTATTTTTTTTATAATTTAAATAATTAAGGGTATATACATGTAAATGCTCAGCATGAGTAAATTTACCCACTTATTCACTGCCATCATTACGCAAAACATAAAGTAGATTTCACAAAAAAGTAAGAGAAATAAAGTGCCTAAAGCCGTACAAGTCAATAAGCATTTTCAAGATTCCATTAAAAAATCTTTAAAATATGTATTAGCTTTTAATTACATTTTTAAGAAAAATATAAATTTTTTTGTAGCAAACTTTAAGTTAAGTTACAAGTCATTACATTATTCCTTGTAAAATCTTGTTGCTAAAATACTTTGCTTAAAATTCCTTATATCAGTCTCTTAAAAGTTTGATCAGCAAAATAGTTTCTCAAATTTTAATTATTTCAAATTAGTTCATTAATATCTTGAAGTATTATTCTATCCATCATTGTGCTGGCATAACTTTTGAAACACTAATATAATAGTTATCAGACAGTTAAGAAGCTATTTATAGTCAATTTTTAAAAGATATTATAGAGATGTATGTAATATTCCAAGATATTTTGTTAATAAATGAATATTATTTTAATTTTTATTTCTCTAGTATATGCTTCAAGAATATTCTTATTAATATTTTTTTAGTTAGAAAATCACACTAACATCATCATATGTTTGTGACGGAGAGATGATATTTATAATTACAAAATAAGGTCCAAAGTGCGAAAATTCGAAAAGTCAGAAGCAGTGCCATGGCTTATAAGTACTGAAACCCTAATTCCTTTTTATGGCTACAGCGTGGGACTGCTGGTGTACAAGCATTGGCAATGACTATTATGAACTTTCTTGTGTTAAAGGGACTTTTTTGGGTGTAAATGGAATGCTAGTCTAAACCCACTGTAGTTGTTTCGTATACTCTTTAGCACAGATAGATGTTAGAGCAGTAGTTTGTGCTGGGTAAGAAATTGAAAATATAGGAATGAAAATTTGGTGGCTACAGTCTATATTCCATTTACTTAGCAAAGTTGGATATATTGTGCTCTTAAGCATAAAGTATATGCTTTGATTGTAGTATGATCTGCAACGCTCTATTTTAATTATTATTTCTTTTCCTTTGCAGCCCACAGACTTTAGTTCGAGCTTTACGGTATGTTGTTGATTGTCAATTGCACTTATTTTTTCCCCAGTCAGTTCATTATCTTCATTTTAGATGAGAGTTGGATGATTGGAATACCTAATCACTTCTGGTGATTTTACTCTTCAAAAACAATGTATCTTATTTCCCTTTGTTTTCAACATTCACGGGTTGTTGAGATGCAAGAGATACTTGATCAACAGATTGCAGAAGAAGCAGCAGAGGCTGAAGGGGATGTTGACATTGCACCAGTTGCAAATCCTCGCAAGAGCGGCATGTATGTTATAATACTTTTAATTAATTTCCATTATGTCACATCAGTTGTGTGATCTTGAAAATCTATAGCAATGGAAGCAACAATCCTTGCTACGACCTTGTTATATGATTTCTTGATAGTTTTAGAGCATTTACTTACTTTACATACCGTTTGGGAAATCATCTAGAAAACATAGGAATGCATTCAATTTTCTAAGACTGATGTGTTTGGTTTTTTTTTTTTTTTGGGTTTGTTTTTTTTTTTTTTTTTTATGTTGGATATTTTGTTGTTTTTTTCTTTTTGTATGATGCTTGTTATGGTCTTTTATTTGATCTTGTGATTGCGATGATATGTGTTTCTCTTTTCTTTTTTTTTCTCCTTCCTTCTCTTTTTTTCTTTCCTTTTTTCTTATTATCCTTTTCTCCCATAATAAAAAAATATTATATATCATGATTCATGTACATTGCATTACACAGAAATGGGCCTTGACTTATATATTAAAATACATTGGACACTCTGTGATAGGATATGTAATGTATTAGACAGTTTGTGGAAAATTTGGCAAAAATAAAATATAGAAGTTAGTATGAAGTTGTTAGAGGTAGTTAGGAGGAGTATAGACAGCAGTTAAGGGAAGTTTTATTAGTAGTTAGGCAGTTTTTGTCTTTTAAGGAGGGGGTGTTCTAGTTCTGGTGGTTGAGTAGTTTATTCAGAACCAGGTCTTAACCTGTGTTGAAGGGAATTTCTTCCCTTGGAAGTTGTTAGATGTTTTTTTTTATATTATGTTTTCTTTAATTAAAGTATTATCTTACGTTGTGCACTGAGATTTGAGTGCTTATTTCTTGACTAAATCTGAAAAATCCGGTTTCTTGTTCCTAAGAAACCTAACAAATTGATTCAACCTGCCAAATCAAGAAGGAGGGAAAGCATGGAAGGAAGCTTCAATACTTTGTAGAGGGGGAGCAGCAAACTGGAAAAGGGGCATCAAAAGATGAGAAAAAGTTTCCAAAACTTGGAAGAAATGATACAGGAATGTAATAAGATTCTGGATGTCCAGATTCAAAAAAGGGACTCTAAAGGAAGGGAAAATCTGTTGACAGAGCAAGAAAGGAGGGAGAGAGGAACTTCTTCATGACATCAAGAAAGCCAAGAAACCCTCAAATGCAAGAGACAATTCCATCAATTGGAGAAGAAAAGAGAAAATGATATCAGTGAACAGGAAGGTGGAGACCAAGACTGTGATATGAATGTTGTGACTCTTGCTTCTCATAATGAAGTTGCAAAAGTTGTTGGTTTTAGTGGAGATAGTGTGGTAAGGTCTTGGTGAATATGTCAAAACAGAAGGAGTGGTGAAGATATAGTAAGAAGGTCGGAATGTGGTGGGAACATTGTAACATTATTACTTCTACAGTAAGTTAAAGATGAGGCTGTTTTGAGTGTAGATGGTTCAAAGTTAGTTCGTTGTGGGACAAAAAACGTTTTTGAAGTCCAGAAAACATCACGGAACAATAGATATACACCTAACCATCAATAACATGGGAAAAAATGCAGTCAAGGGGTTCAAGACCTGGCAACAGAAATCCCATAACCTTTCTTGGGAAGATTTGCAATACTACCTCAACTAAGGATAGTTGAAGGAACCAAGGGAAACATGTTATTTGAGAGTTTGGCAGCAGTAACATAGATTGGGATGTGTGGAATTTTACGTGAGAGAGATGGCAGTAGTAACAAGGATAGGGAGGGGGAAAAATGTCATTCCCAAAGATTCATAGAATTGGTTGTCTCCTAGTAAACCAACATTAGGAAAACCATTCGGGGAGTATTTTTGACAAAGTGGGTAGGCCTATCAAGGAAGGACAAGAAAGTTGGCACGATCTCCCTTTTGTCTTGGAGTTGACCTACCTGTATGAAAATCGATTGCTAGTAAACTCCAGTAATAAAACTTGTTGATTTTGGAGAAGCGAGCAGACGGCTTACAGCACTCTACTTCAACCCACTAATCTCCAACCCATTACACCCATTGTGCAAAGATTATGTCGTCACAGTTAGATCTTGCAATCAAGGATTAATCCAACGGCCGAAAGGAATCCTTGAGGCAAGTGCATGGGAAGGTTGTCGCAACGATTTTAAGGACGGTTTTTTAGATTACAACCTTAAGGACAAGGTTGTTTTGGCAGTGGTGATATACTAAATTTTATAGTCGCAAAAAAAGGAACTTTAAATACTGCACTTCCTTTGCAGTTCAATCAAATTGCATGTCCCCCTGATTGTCACAAGCATTTTTCAATAGCTATATTTGTATTTGACCAAGAGTTATCAACATTTGTTCTTGGTGCCAAACCAATGATAGTAATTTTTAGCAAATCTCACATTGTTAATTCATTCTTACCACATTATATTTCATCATGTGAAGGAACATGAATTGGGTTGAAAATCTATTAAGTAGTTTTGATATAGACTTGACAATGCAAAGCATATATAAATATTGATGAATATAATAAAACTAGGTATAGCATTAATCTCTTATGTGTAGAAAATATACATAGGGTAATATATTTATAATAATGAGAATGTAGGCTAAGCCCAAATACAAATGAATATGTAAAAATAACATAATTAACATAGAGAATATGTTTCCCTAATTAACATAAAACAATATATCTAACAAATATGATGTACAATGTACAGAAGGATGTGCCAAGTTCCAGAGGATAAAAAAATTAAGAGATAATCTTCTCAGGTTACCTTCTTTAAAGAGAATATAAAAACTTCCAGGCTGTAGAATGCTCTTTTAAAAACTTCTTAATGCAACATAAAGCATAACTAACATCCCACCTACATATTTCTCAATCCCCACCAACACCGTGAATTGAACATAGGAAAAACAAAGTCTGCATCAGAAGAGCCAGAAAGAACTTCTGATGATGGAGATTTGGATCATGCATATAATGGAGCACAAAATAATACACCTATTTTTTTATAAGAAAGTTGAATAGATACCGTTATGTGATGATTAACTACTTCAATCAGTTTTCTCAAAACAAGAAATATTCCAAATTTGTCAAAAGAAAACTCAACACTCCAGTACTACAAAATAGAAGATTCATACCAGCCACTACCAAAGTCTCTAAAAATAACCACAAATTGGATGATAAAAGTATCAACTTCAAGATTTAAATGACCAATAAAATAATTTATATGTGAACCACTGACTATGCAAAAATAATTGGTTCATTACATATCGATGAGGGCTTATGCAGATTGAAATGCTCATTCCAAAATCTGTAGCAGCCCCCTCCTGGATTATTGCTTTCCCAAATCATGAATGTGACAGTTCACTAAAAAGGACACACACCTTAGCCTTCCAACCTCTTCCTTGTGAGATGCTGCAGCTGCCAATGCAAAACTTCGTTTTCCATCCAATGCAGTTAACCTCTGCAAAATCCATAAAAGTTATAGAGAAAAAATGGAAAATAAAGTTTAAAACGAACCTTAGATTTGAAAAAACATTGTCATTTTATAATAGAGCCAATAGCGTACACTATAAGGAAGACCAGCATTACCTCATAAGTGTTGACAATTTCTTTGTCATCACTCAAAGAATCCCGAGCTTCTGCTGCCTCAACAGAGATAGACATCATACCTTCAACATCCTATCAGAAGACCAAGAAATCAGCCAAAATCATAATGACAGGATATGCACATACCAGACATGTGTACAACTGAGTTCCAACAATTTAATTTAAATTGGGACAAATGAAATCATAAGTTTGTATCAACCATTCTAAAAATGATAAATTAACTAAGTTAAAAATGTTTGAAACAGTGAAGGCAGCATTTGAGGGAATAACCACAATACATAACTGCATCTGCTAATTTAACAGTGATTATACACGGTATAAAGAGAGAGAAACCCATTTTCTGATAGTTGTAGATAAAAAGCTCAATACTACTGCAGAAAACTTGGAAAGGAAAAGTTCTAAGTAACAACTCTTAACTATGAACCAGTAGAATGAGTATTGGACAATTAGCATTTTAATCTAGAAAACCACCTTCAAGGTTGTGTTTAAGTTATTTCTTGCATTGCTGAGTAACTTTATCTGATCATGGTTGTCAATTAATGTTTGGCATTCCTGACATAACCTGATACAACAAGAAATCAGAGAATCACAGTAAGTTCCAAGTGAAAAATATTGGTGGTAAGCTTACTCTCAAGACCGAGCAAACACCCTCTAATAGGTGAAAATAGTTTCAGTCTGTCACATTTCAAACATACTTCTCAATAGAGACAAAGTTTTCACGAAGCTGATTTATTGTGTTTTCGGATAAGGATAGTGATTTTAGTCCTGCCTGTGACTGCTCAACCTGCAGCAATTGGGCAAAGCACATCAAGATATGAGATTTAGTACCTTGGTTAGGTCAATATCAAGAGCAATAGCAGTTTCAAGGAAACACATGTTTAATGTACTAGATAAACAACGACATGCCATCAACTGAGATCTCAATTAAATTTCAGTTTCCAAGTTCTGAAATAATAAAGTCATAGTGTAAGGAAGTAGAAAGCCTGAAAACATTTTATGTTTAGTGGGGTTTGCAAGGAGGAAGAGGATAAAAATAGAATTATAAAAACTATTTTTTTTTTCTGAGCCTGTTAAAGTTCAGTCATGAGCTTCTAAAGTTAATTCTAGATGGTCTCTTGCTAACACATAGTGAAGCAAAAAATATGTCTTTTTCTTTTACCCGCACATATTTCTTATCTTCAATAGTTCTTTTAACACACTCATTAGTTAACATACGAAAAGAAAAAACCCTGACCTATACTTATCTGGAAAACTGATTATGGCATCTAAACCTAGCCATCTTCACTGAGGCATTTGTATCTATCCCAACCTCCTTCATTGCAGACAACCTGTCCTCTGCCCCTCCATCCCCATTGCCAACACAGCTTTCCAGCAACTTTACCTCCAATGCTGCCCAATTCAAAGCCAGAAACTAGTCCGATTGAACTGGTAATCTCATCAACAAAACCACACTCCCCACATTGGCTAGATCCCAAAGACCCATTGACAGAGGAGCCCCTGCTGAACCTCACACACCAGAACTTTGTTGCTATCACATGCACATGTGTAAGCCAGCTGCTACCCTGCTAGCATAAGAACTCAAAAGCACTAGTACTAGCAGACTCGTTCACCCCTACCCTCTTTGTTCACTATGCTGCAGCTTGCACACCCAACAACCACAGCCAATTGAGGACATACCTGTCCATTGCACAGTTGAACTGGAGTGTTTAAGAAGCTTATGGATTCTCTTAGTAAGTCATTTAATACTTTCTCTCTTAACTATTCTAAGCTCCTTAATGTTTCTAGACTTTCTAGTACTCAACCTGAAGATCGCTGGATAATTGGATTAGGTTTGGTGCTGCTGAGTGCTAGCTATATAACAATGCATCCTTCATGTTTTCTGACTGTTGTGCCTTGTGTTGTCTAGCAAAAAATACATTACTATTGCCAATAGGTCTCATTGTTGGGTTTCAAGGGAGGGGGTTTACTAAAGAGACACAACACCAAATGAGATCTAAGTCCAACCACATAAGAGATTGACACCACTCTCAACCCAAAACCTTAAGGCAATGGGTTAATGGGTCTGTATCCTTATATGGTGCTCCCCTTTCTCATTTCTACCCAATGTGAGTCTTAGACTCACACTTGGATTCCCAACACTCATTCCCTTTCCTGAAGTGATAATATCTCCCTCCATCCTTCAATACACTAAATAATGTGTTGCATGCTCCACATCTCTTCAATAGTCTTATTTTTGTACAAAAATCTCTCTATAGACTAGAAGTGTATGGTGACGTTTTGTCCTTTTCATCATGCCTTTCACGACCTTATCAAAAGAAAAACAATTGAAATTGCTAAGGTACATAACAGGTTACACTATGAGCAAATGCAAGTTAGTGAATGAAGGGCAGTGCCGTATAAAATGTGACACAGTTTTGCCTCCAAACAAGTTAAAAGTCTACAGCATCTCAAACTAGGCTTCAACAAGCAACTTGGACATCCTTCATTTAGTGCTCCTAGGTCCACATCTCCTTTCTTATTTAATTAAGAGTTTGTTGAGTTGTTTCAAAGTGATATTTGTCAAATTGCAAAATGTTGTAATTAGAGAAAAAATTTCCTAATTAGAGAAAATATCTGTAGAATCTTCTAGTTTATTTTTCAATATATTGTTTTCTTATTTCCCTTTTTTGAAGATTGGATTGTTACAAATAGGTGTAAGGAGAATGTAATACATATGAATTACAATAATAAAATTCATTCGCCATTGTCTGGCCACTACGGCTGTTGTCGTAGCTGTTGGGGTCGTTGATAGGGCAGACAAGTGCACCCAACTCTGGCAAACACAACATTGGAAATTGCTCAAGGAAAGACACCACCACGCGCTGCCACACACCACCACCGTCACCGGCGCGTGTAGCCCATGCGCCTAGTTCTGGCGAGACCCACTTTCCGCCGTCGTCACAGAAAGGATCGTTGGAGCCTCCTGAGTCCGTTCCACGGTTCCCATAGAACAGAATCACAGAATTGGAAGTGAAGAAAGTGCTCTAGTAGAGAAGGCCCAATATCAGAGATTGGTAGGAAAATTGATTTATTTATCACACACAAGACCAAACATTGTTTATGCAGTCAGTGTAGTGAGCCAATTCATGCATGATCCAAGAAAGAGACACATGCAAGCAGTTGACAAAAATTCTCCAGTGATTGAAGTCAAGTCCAAGAAAGGGGCTATTATTCAAAAGGGAAGATACATTGACTACGAAAATATATACTGATGTTGACTATCCAGGTTCTATTACTGACAGAAAATCTACTTTTGAGTATTGTGTGTTTCTTGAAGATAGTATGGTAACGTGGAGGAGCAAAAAGCAAGATAGAGTATCTCGTTCTAGTGCAGAAGTTTAATTTCAAGCTCTTCCTCAATCAAGGAATGTGTGAAGAACTCTGGATGAAAATCAATTTGGATAACCTTAAAGTCAAGGTGGACAATCCTGGGCAACTATATTGTGACAATAAGTATGCCATGAGCATTACCCATAATCTAGTACAACATGATAAGACCAAACACATTGAGATTGACAGATATTTCATCAAAGATAATCTAGACAGAGGTTTTGCGATTACAACTCATGTTCCCTACAAAACTTCATATAGCAAATATTTTTACAAAAGGACTCCCTCCGAGTAGATTTTAAGATCTTGTAGGTAAGTTGGGAATGATTGATATTCATTTACCAACGTGAGGGGGAGTGTTGTAATTAAAGGAAAATCTTCCTAATTTAGAGAAAATATCTATAGAATCTTCCTAATTAGAGAAAATATTTGTAGAATCTTCTAGTTTATTTTTCAGTATATTGTTTCCTTATTTCCTTTTTTTGAAAGATTAGATTGTTAAAAATAGGTGTAAGCAAAATGTAATAGATATGAATAATAATAATAAAATTCATTTTCTTTTCAAGTCAAAGCATCATTGTGCAACTTTTCCTTGTAGTAGTAAAAAACCTAGTCAAGCCATTTGATCATGTCCGTTCATATACATAGCAACCTGTTTATGTTTCTAATAATTGTAGAATGAAATGGTTTGCTTCTTTCTGCGATGATTGTGATTGCGTGACATAGAAATTTCTAATTTATAACAAAGAATAAAATTGAGGTTGTGCAACTTTTTCAAAATTCATAAGATTCAAACTTAGTTTGGAAAATCAATAAAACAATTACTCTCCAAAATGGAAGAGAATAGTGGAACCAAAGTTTATTTGAATTGTAGGTATTAATTACAGAACTACCTACTTGAGTTTAAACTAGTGACAATTGTTGAACTAACCCTTGATTGGAAATCCCACATCGACTAGAAATAAAGTCAATTTAAAATATATAAGTTGGTGCAAACCTCACCTTACAAGCCGGTTTTGTGGGGTTGAATTAGGCTTAAAGTTCACTTCTTAACATGGTATCAGAGCCAGGTTAAAGTCTATCTTAGTGAGATTTGTGTGGACATATTTTTCCACCATCAGACCACCCATTAATGTTTAGTCTCACGTTCGAGATGTATATGCCTCGGCATGAAGGGGGCGTGTTGGAAGTCCTACATCGACTACAGATAAAGTCAATTTATAGTGTATAAGTGGGTGCAAACCTCACCTTACAAGTCGGTTTTGTGGGGTTGATTTAGGCTTAAAGTCCACTTCTTAACATGGTATCAGAGCCAGGTTAGAGCCTATCGTAGCAATATTTGTTGTTTGTAAGGCAAATTGTTCCACCAGCTATTGGGTCGTTATCAGACCACCCATTAATGTCTAGTCTCACGCTCAAGATGTATATATCTCGACGTGAGGGGGGGTGTTGGAAGTCCCACATCGACTAGAGATAAGGCCGATTTAAAGTGTATAAGACAGTGCAAACCTCACCTTACAAACCGGTTTTATGGGGTTAAGTTAGGCTTAAAGTCCAGTTCTTAACATGGTAACAGAGCCAGGTTAGAGCATATCCTAGTGAGATTTGTGAGGACATATTGTTCCACCCGCTATCAAGCCACTATCGGACCACCCATTAATATCTAGTCTCACGCTCGAGATCTATATACCTCGGCATGAGGGGGGTGTTGGAAGTCCCACATCGACTAGAGATAAGGCCAATTTATAGTATATAAGTGGGTGCAAACCTCACCTTACAAGCCGATTTTATGGAGTTAAGTTAGGCTTAAAGTTCATTTCTTAAAAAAACTGACTTACATTACAAGTCTAATAACAAATAGATAGTTGAGATAGGTGATAAGTGTGTTTAATACTTCACTGATCATACCTTTTTAAGATTTTATTTATACTTCAACAATGATTATTCCTCATTTTTGTGCATTATGATCAGAATATATCCATATCACTAAGGATTACAATTAGAGGGGATACCACTAATTTCTCCATATTTTTTGTAGAGAATTAGAAGCTTGGAGCCATAGTAAAATGAAGTCACTTCTGAAAATACTCACTAAATGAACATATAACTCACTCAGCAAGTGCACATGAAGAAGTAAGAGTAATTGCAACCACTTGAAGTCACTCAGTGACAAGATAGGTCGATGAGCAAGAAGCCTTGTAAAGTACAAAATTTGTCGTATCATTTTTGCTCAGCAAGACATCATGCCTTTGAATGAAAGTTCACTTTATGGACTAAAAACAAAAAGGATGATTGGGCTACAAGGGTGACACCTTTTAGCATTTAGAGAAACATTGGTTGCAGGCTTTAGACTTGGAGAACATGAGAGAGACTTCCACCTTCAATCTTCACAATTTATAGTTCATTTGTTGTGCTCCAAATGTTTTGGGATAGATAATATCCCATTCAGCATAGTTGAATGTAACAAATATTTATATTCACTTTATGCAATTTCCTTTATATTTCAACTATTTTTCTTAACTAATGCGATCTTCCTTTATGCTTCATGTGCATACTTTATTATCTATGCTTTGTTTAGTTTCATTGCATTGGAAAATGTTTTTGAATTTGTAGATCTACAGTTGAACAACAAAGGCATTTCTTATTAGACATGGTATTTAATATCTTGGTCATTCTTATAGCCCTTGTTCGTGCAAATCATGTGTGGAAATAACTGAGGGAATAGAATTTCTACAATAAGATTTACGCTCTTTTCACTAAGGAATTAGGATTTGGTTAAAATAATAGTGTGAATGCAAGAGTTATGTTGGAAGTAATATTGAAAGTAGGGAAATTATTGCGTCAAGTTCATGAAATTCAACCCAACAATATCTTCATATCTTTTTCATTTGGTTTTTATATGCTTTTTAGAAAAATTATAAAATCTTATTTAGTTACCTATTCTAATTGCAGGATAGTAGTTAATCTCATTGCTTCAATAATCAATATTGATTTAAAGTTCTAAAGTCTTATTAATATCCAAATTGCCCCACTAGTGCAAATCCATCTGGAGACGACTAGATTTATCAATATACTACTTCAATTGCTACCCCTCCCAAGAAGTTAACAATAAGTTGATCTAAATGCATCATTCACAAGGAGTAATAGAAATTTATTCACCAGTTTAAAGGAAGTGCTCCATATGTTTATTTCTTCTTTCCTCTCTTTGTATACAATTACTTTGACTTCTTCCTTATTAGGATAGATTAGTCAAGGATTTACTTATTTGGTGCAACAGGGTTTGATTTTATGCCCACAATTCTAGCATAGGACTTTATAGCAAGGTTGTGTACAGATAGAGACTTCTTGTGAACTGAAAATAAAAAAATAATATTTCAATGCTTTTCCATACATTTTGAGTGTTTATATTTACATGCTAATATCTCCAAAAGAGCATTGTAATTAACAAATATATGTTATAATTGTAGCAAGTTCCAATCACATGTTTTGATTACATTCATGATTGTGCTTTCACTTCTATACCTACCTCAAAACCAATTTCAGGTGGTGAGGGTTAACCACTACTTATACATTCCATTCAGGCTCTATCTCTAACTAATGTAGGAGATGGGTTTCCTAATACATTATGCCCAAAATTCCAGGATAAGATGACCTAGGCTATACAAATAGAGACTTATTGTACACTGAAAATTAAGAAATAATATTTCAGTGCTTTTTCATACATTTCAAGTGAATTTACATCGTAATAGCTCCCAAGAGCTTTTGTTAAAAAATATATGTTATAATTGTAGCAACTTCCTCATCACATGTTTCTATTACTATCATAGAACTACTTTTGTGTCAAAATCAACCTCACAAGACCAATTTGGTGAAGTGAGAGTTGCCTTCTATTTATATATTCTATTTAGGCAGTAAATGTGGGAGATGGATTTTTCATAGTACAGCACTCACTCAACTAGATGGATAATATGATGGGTAACCCTTTTTAATGGATCTAGGATAAACTTTGATACCATCTTAGATAGTAGGTTTATGGCTAACTCAATGTTAAAGACCAGCTTGGAAGTAAAGAGCTGTCCCCCACTTACATACGTTTTTCAGGCTCTATCTCAAGCCAACATGGAACTTGGGTTTTTACCCAGTAAGCTGTAATAAAAAAAACATCACAATCAAAAGCTCCACAGAACAAGTTGGAAATAAAAGGCTTTTCCCACTTATTTGAGTTGGTCATAGGGATCAAACAACATTGTTCTGTCAAAAACCTATCAGAAAACAAAAGAAGCTAACTTAAACACATTTACCGAGCAGGCAGTGTATGACCTTGTATGGGATAAAAGAAACAGTAGTTCAAAGGTTTGGAGCTACTAAAAGGTTTCGTTTTTTTGCAACCTGCATCTAACCTGTTGACATCTAGTTAATTAAGAAAGAAGAAAAGAATACCTGCTCAGCAACCATTGTACTAAGTTGTGCATCATTGGCCTGAAAAATAATGCAAAATATTCACACTTAGAATTTTAGCTGCTTAGATTCTGAATAAAAGCTGCAATACTAATGAATGATGGAGACGCCATACATGATCTAGTAATTGTGAATGTTAGTTCAAACAAGACATGATCAGAAATAGGCAATATGCTATACATAGGTCGTTGTTATATAACTCAAACTGGTAACTGACTCAGGAGAGATACAAAGTTTGAGAAAATACACCAGTGAGTCATTAATCAAACAACATAGAATTTCAACCGTATTTAAACATTTAATGAAGACCGAGATTTTAAAACACAATATTGTCATCATACTTGAAATATAAATCAATTTAGAACTAAACAAAAGTTGTCTCAATTATTTAAAAATAAATCTTAAAAGAGGAGACGAATACTCAAAGCTTCCACTTAGTGGGACTTGAAAGAGTATGCGAGAAAAGAACTTAAGAGATATTAACTTAGATCTCTTTACTAATTCAGATTTATAAATGTAAATCAGTGGCTTACAACAAAAGTGTAAGGAAGGACAAAAAAACACAATAGAGTTTACCCCTAGGAGTCTAGGTTACAGATAGATACAACACAAATCAGCTTTTGATCAGAAAATATATGAAGCACAGACATGCCTCTATAATGGTGTGTCCCTATGTCAAACACATATCAGATGTCAAACACATATCAGACACCAACACTCATACAACACATATCAGAACTCTATTCAAATTTCCAATTTAAAAAAGGTTTTTTTTGAGCCTATGATACACCACTGATACAATGTTAGTGAGGACACATGCGGTGATTTTTTTATTAGAAACTCAAAAACTTATTGTGTAAGCTTCTATTATAACTATAGAAATAAAGAGCAAATCTTATATAATCAGGAAAATTATATTATATATGTACTATTAGGAACATTTTTATTTATTCTCATATCAAATCTTCATATATTATGGAATTCTTTGAATTTTTTAATTTGTCTTAAGATGAATATCAGTTAGAGTGTCTTTTTTCAATGATGATGATCAAGAATGAGTGTAATGTCTTCAATGGGTTAGATCATCGTTNGGCGTGTTGGAAGTCCTACATCGACTACAGATAAAGTCAATTTATAGTGTATAAGTGGGTGCAAACCTCACCTTACAAGTCGGTTTTGTGGGGTTGATTTAGGCTTAAAGTCCACTTCTTAACATGGTATCAGAGCCAGGTTAGAGCCTATCGTAGCAATATTTGTTGTTTGTAAGGCAAATTGTTCCACCAGCTATTGGGTCGTTATCAGACCACCCATTAATGTCTAGTCTCACGCTCAAGATGTATATATCTCGACGTGAGGGGGGGTGTTGGAAGTCCCACATCGACTAGAGATAAGGCCGATTTAAAGTGTATAAGACAGTGCAAACCTCACCTTACAAACCGGTTTTATGGGGTTAAGTTAGGCTTAAAGTCCAGTTCTTAACATGGTAACAGAGCCAGGTTAGAGCATATCCTAGTGAGATTTGTGAGGACATATTGTTCCACCCGCTATCAAGCCACTATCGGACCACCCATTAATATCTAGTCTCACGCTCGAGATCTATATACCTCGGCATGAGGGGGGTGTTGGAAGTCCCACATCGACTAGAGATAAGGCCAATTTATAGTATATAAGTGGGTGCAAACCTCACCTTACAAGCCGATTTTATGGAGTTAAGTTAGGCTTAAAGTTCATTTCTTAAAAAAACTGACTTACATTACAAGTCTAATAACAAATAGATAGTTGAGATAGGTGATAAGTGTGTTTAATACTTCACTGATCATACCTTTTTAAGATTTTATTTATAATTCAACAATGATTATTCCTCATTTTTGTGCATTATGATCAGAATATATCCATATCACTAAGGATTACAATTAGAGGGGATACCACTAATTTCTCCATATTTTTTGTAGAGAATTAGAAGCTTGGAGCCATAGTAAAATGAAGTCACTTCTGAAAATACTCACTAAATGAACATATAACTCACTCAGCAAGTGCACATGAAGAAGTAAGAGAAATTGCAACCACTTGAAGTCACTCAGTGACAAGATAGGTCGATGAGCAAGAAGCCTTGTAAAGTACAAAATTTGTCGTATCATTTTTGCTCAGCAAGACATCATGCCTTTGAATGAAAGTTCACTTTATGGACTAAAAACAAAAAGGATGATTGGGCTACAAGGGTGACACCTTTTAGCATTTAGAGAAACATTGGTTGCAGGCTTTAGACTTGGAGAACATGAGAGAGACTTCCACCTTCAATCTTCACAATTTATAGTTCATTTGTTGTGCTCCAAATGTTTTGGGATAGATAATATCCCATTCAGCATAGTTGAATGTAACAAATATTTATA